TATGTATTTAAGTTACATATATTAATGATTTTAATAATAATAATAATATATTATTTAATATATGAATGAAAATTATAATATGAATAATTTAAATAAATAAAAATTATATAATTATAATAATTGAGGAACTTAAATATGATATAATTGTGACACTTAAAATTGTTTAATTAATATTTGAAAAATCAAAATCATATAATTATAATATTTAAAAAATTAAAATTGCTCAATTAAAATTTTAAAAATCAAAATTACACAATAGAAGAATAAAAATTAATTATTCCTATAATTTATAAAGTTACTAAAACATTGGTTTTATTTTTAAATTTTAATATTTATTTTAATTATTAAAAAGTTACCATTACTCCACCACAGTCTTATTTGAGTTTATTTCAATGAGATAAGATATTTTTTTAATATGTTTTTCTTATATTAAAAAAATGAGAATGTTATTTAATTATTTTGAACAGCAAATTAATCACACATTTACATATTTTTAATATAATAAAAATAAAAATAAATGCTTTTTAAAATCTTTTATATAATTTACCTTTAAATACAAGATGACAAATCAAGTGCAAATTAGTGTTTTTACATATTCAAAAGAATTTAGTAAGCATACTCATAAATTTTATATTGTAATGATCCATGATGGTACTTACACTTAATAGATTAACTATTAGTAGTAAAAAAAATACAAGTTTCTACCTAGGCAATCATACACACAATTTTTAGATATACAGGTGATATTATATAAATACATGTACAAAAGATTTGCATCTACAACTAAAATACTATATGAATATATATGTATATATAATAATCCAAAAATTTTATTGTATAAACCTAAGTTATTGGTAAATCAACTTTACAAAATTATATAGAAGTAGTGTTAAGCAAAACTATATAGAAGTAGTGTTAAGTTACACCATCATCTAGCCAGATCCTTAACCACCAAATTTCTTCTACCTAACCCTATCATGCTCTGATATAAATATGATCATCATAGTCTAATCACAAGAAAACATATAAAGGGTAAACTAATACTCAAAACAGTAATCACATAATAACTATAAAAGTATAACAATTATATTACCAACACCAACATGTAAACCATACAATACAACAATAACATGACTTAGAACTAGCACCTCAACATGACATTCAACACCTTAAGAAGATAACAACTTATTCCTTCACATCATATTTCAACTTTCACCGCAATTATGTCATTCAACCACAATCCACATAGCATATGAACAACAACACAACAACACATCATGTGCATACTCCCCAACTACATGTTTCATTATGTATTCACTTACGGAGATCTCCTACAACAAAGGTAAGTAATTTAAAGAGTTTAAAGACTTGTTAGATCAATAGTGAATTTAGATACCAATCCATAATAAAATGATATATCAAAATTTGACAATATTAGTTTACATAATTAAGCCCCTTATGAAATTAGTCCACTGACTACCCTTAAAACATTATGCCCTTATAGTATTCATTTAGGGGACTAAGTCATCAACCTTGTACCTTACTCGATTAATCACTTTATATACGTATATCTAGACCTTACTCACATATGATCAACATTAGTCACTTATAGCTAGTATGCGTTGAATTGACTCATATACCACATCAATTAAGGTTCTAGAGGAGACTTAACTATTCACTTTTAAAGTTTACTATTCAAGAAGAGTTTTTCAACAATAGAACTCGTAGAGCATCACACTAATATCCTCATAATGGGATATCTAATTTTCTAAAATACCCTCTCCTTTAGTCCTAAGTTGATCAACACAACACACCCTAATGCATAAATGTCTTCAACATTTTCAACATCATCACCTCAACTTTCAACAGTTAATCAACATAACATGCCTAAATGCCTAAAGTATTTTTAGCATCAACATTTCAATAGTTTGATAGTTATTCATCTATATGCATTGTCCTAGATCAATGTATATAGAACCAACACCATTCAACAACATCCAACTTTTTAATCATCAATATATAACATATAATAAATTCAACTAACCCACATATATTCACCATTTTCTCAACCAAAAAACATATTTTTACAAAGCAATTGACGCCTTGCGCCCGAGCCTGATGTCACTAAATAAGAGACAATTCTCTCACCTCACGCTCGATGTCACTAATCATACGCTTGATGTAGTGAGACAAAGGACCCCTCATTTGAATCACACTTAGCATCATGATGATTTTCACATATAGTAGAATCATAAATTGGCTCAAACCTACAACTCAAACCAGTTACAACAACATGAAACTCATCATATAACATATGAACAACACAAATAACTTAGAATCAATACAAGAATCAACATGCATCTATTACAGTCCATAATCGCCAAGTTTTCTCTCCAAAAAGAAACCAAAACCAAAACCTAAGCAATGCAGCAATCTCATTACAATTCCAATCCAAAATAGCAATTACATGAGGGAATTCATCAACAAGAATGCACCACAACTCAAGCCAATCATCAAACACCAACTTCCCTTACCTTTAAATCGATTAGAAATAAGGTAGAAGGAAACAGACGACTACTCCAAGCTACTTTGCACCACAACTAGCAAATACTCCGATCCTTGGCTTTGAAGTTTATAATTGCCTAAATAGCCACAAAATCACTATCGAGAAAGGGAAGAGAAGGAATTCGTGAAGTCGGAAGGGAATTGTTTCGCTTCGTCTCCAGAGCATTTCTCTCTAAACTCAGACTTTCTGAAAAAATTGAATTTATGAAGTCCATTTCTAAAGATAAACCTTTTATACTTTTTCTTATTGGTCAAATTTGACTTCTACTCAGAAACAATCCGAAACAATTAAAAACTCATAAAAAGTTATCTAATTTCATAGTTTCTCAACAATTAAAACACAAAATCACCAAAACAATTAATTATTGAAAAAAATAACAATAATTAACAAAATTATACAATATTACATATATATTCAATAAAAATATATAATTTTATATTATTAACTAATAAAAAAATTATTTGTAGTGTTTTTCGCTACTTTTTATAAAATTAAAAATTAAAATATTACCTGATCTTTTTATAAGTATTGATTTAAAATGTCTCTGCACTCATTATCTTTGAGTTTCATAATTAAACCTTAAATATTAATTGATATAACTTTTTTTATCATTTATTTTAAAACTCAACAACGTAGTATGAATAATAATTTTGAGATTAAATGATAATGAAAAATTATTTTTAAACGTCACTAGATCACTTATGTTCATATTATTTTTTAACAAAAACCACTTTTAATTAAAGTCACTTATCTTATTAATTAAATAAATAGTTGGTGAAATAAACGTATCATTAATGTTATAAATAGTTTTGGAAAAAAAATATTCTCCCATTCCTTTTTAATTGTGGTTTTTTAAAAGTGTTTAGTTTCTATTTATTTTTCATTTACAAAATTTAAGACAACATTAGTTATTATTTTGTCAATTATATATCTTCACTTCTTACTTACCTTTTGAATTAATTTAGATATTTACAATAAATATATACTCTCTCAGTCTCTCAAAACCTATATACAAGTAACAAAGACAAATTTTATATAGATTAAAAAAGTTAGTTAATTTTCACAATTTCATACAAAAATATACAATATATTTTCTAAAATATCTTCAGTCATGTTAATTGTAAATTTTGCTCTCATTAATTGTCTTAGTAATATTTTTGAATTAAGAGTATTAAATAAAGTTAATTTAATTAAAAATTACTTATATTTTAGAATAAAAATTTAAACATTTTTTGTTTATATATAAATTTAAAGGGAGTATTTATTGTTGAGTAAAAATGAAAAATAACATAAGAAACTTCAAAACTATTTTATAATAAAAAATTATTATGTTTCTTGATTTGAGTATAAATATATTAAACGATTATTAAAATTGAATGGAGATAATATTATTTGAGAAAAATTCAATATTATCTATTAAATTAAAAAAATCAATCCAAATAAATTATGCAATTGAGTCATATAAAGAGTATAAATGAGTACTCCTAATGAATTATGTAATTTAGTATAATTTTAAAAATAAATATTTTATAATTAATGCTAATAAATGTATTACACATACATAGATGATATAAAAAAAAATACATTATATATTTTTCAATAAATTTTCTATCAAAAGTCGTTTGAACAAAATCCGCACTTACCGTTCCTTAACAGAAGAATATGCAGGCATCGAACAAGAAAAATCACTTTATTGATAAAATGAGCCGAAATGTTAAGACGATATTGTCCCTCCTCATATAAAAAATAAAAATAAAAAATTAACAATTTTTTATTTGTATTATTAAAAAAACTGTAATAATATTATATTAAAGTATTTTTTAATTTTAGTTATTTTATTTTTTAGTTCTTAAAATTTAAAAAATATATTTTTAGTCCTTATATTTATTTAGTTTTAATTATTTTTTGTTTTTATAATATAATATATAATTTTTTAATTTTTATACATTTATTTTTGAATCTTTTAATCTGTGTCATTAATTTATTTGTAATTTTGTTTCTTTCATGTTAACTTTAATTTAATTTTGTGTATATCAAATTTATTTTATTAGAATTATTTTAAATTATAATTTTTAATGTTTTATATCTTTTTTTATCTTCATATGTAATGTTTATTATCAATTTTTTTTTACTTCTATAAAATTAATTTTTTTTATTATATCAATATAAAATAATAACATTATAAAAAAATAACAATAAATATTAAAATACTATAAAAATACCAGACTAAAAAGTTTATCGTTAACTATGTAGATTAAAATAATTAAAAATTAAATATAGATAAAAAATAATTATTTTAAATTATTAAAATTAAAAGGTAAAATAAATTAAATTATACTACTAAAAAAATATTTAAACTTAATATAAATTATATAAAAAAAATCACCGAAACTTTAAAGGGAGAAATGCGGAATTTACGTGAGAGTCACTGCATTGTTTTAGTTTCTGGTCTTTACGAGGTACCTGAGGACATGATTACATTCTAACATCACACATTCTTCTCTCTTATTTCTTTCTCTCTCTTCTTCTTCTTCAATGCAACTCTATTCTGTTTGGTGACACGACACAACACAACATCCTCTGAAACGTAAAGTAGCACGCGCCACCCTTCTCTCTCTCCTTCACCAACTCTGCTCTCAGCTTCCGCTGCAATCACAATGCCGGCAACCGAGGTAATAGCTCCCACTTCTTCTTCCAATTCAAAACCCGTTCTTTTTACCCTTTTCTTGTTTTAATTTTAGCATTATTTGATTTCCTGTTTCTGGGTCTCTCTCTATGTTGATTTTTTCAGACCAGGACGGTTCAAGTTAAGCAGCTTTCAGATCTAGCTGGTGAGAGAGAGATTCACGAGTTCTTCTCCTTTTCTGGGGAAATCGAGCATGTTGAGATCCTCAGGTGGGTAATTTCAACACCAAATTTTTTATTTTTTTAGCTGCCTGTTTTATTTTTGCTTCAATTCAGTTTTTGCCAGCTCCAGTCTTCACAACTCTGATTGAAGGGTGCTTAGAAAGCAAAAGGGGGAAGAGGGTTGGAAAATACTGAGAAGAAAATATGGGGTGCTCTTAATTTTGATTTTAATGAAATAAAGTTGTACTAATTATCTTAATAAAACAAAGAACAGGTCAGGGTAAAAGTTCAGGTGTCAGAGTAAATTATGCAGTGACAGTGCATTAATCTACTTTCCATTTTTTTTTATTTTTTATTTTATCTTAGTTAACCAAAGTAATTGAAGATAAACTAAGTCTTCTGCTTTAGAATTTGAACTCTTATTGCGTGTGCAAACAAGCTGTGCGTTGAATTCTGCTCTTGAACTTGCGATTCTTTTTTTTTTTTTTTTCCATGCTTGCTTAGAGAAGTCAAATCTGTATGGTGTACTATGATTACATATTGTGTGTCTATTTGTTGCAGTGAAGATGGGAAATCAAAGAGTGCATATGTGACATTTAAAGATCCCAAAGCACTTGAAATTGCATTATTGTTATCGGTAATTCTATTTTCCTTTTATGATTTTGTTGGAGCTATGGTGTATTATCGAGTTCAATTCATAATCATGGTAGGTACTTGGTACTGGGATGTGTTTGCTATAGATGGTAAGATAAAAGAACATCACTTACATGGTACTATGGAGTAACTAGGTTTTTGAAAGAGATCTCTTTCAATTAATGCAGCTCACTTCGAAGAAAAGAAAAGGAAGGAGAGTGACTCCTAATGAATGATGTGTATCAGATTCAGGTGCAAGTCAAATAAGCTTGAGCTCTAGAAGGAAACCTTCAGATTAAAATCCTTTAGAATCAAGATACCATTTTTGGCTTATGTTAGTAGATTGCTAGTGTACAGAAGTTCTGTTGTATTTTTAAACTTGACTTAAATATGATTTTTGTCCTTCAAAGTTGAGGTGAATTTGTTTTTTGGTCTATCAATATAATAATTGATCCTACTAGTTCTAGTCATCTAAAAAAAAAAAAAAATTGTTTTACTCCTTCAGGACTGCTCGAAACATCATTTATGGGAACAAATTGAGTTAATTATGCAACATCTGTTGGGTTTAAAGTGATATTTTCATTAACTAGTAAGTGAGTTTTGTATGATTCAATTTTAAATGAGTTTTGTTTGACAGATTCACTAATAACATTTGAGCTGAGAGATTGAAATAAGTTTTTTTTTAAGAAAAACAGTTTTAAACAAACATGAGGGACCAAAAACAAATTTACTTAAGTTTTTAGACTTTTAGTATATTAGGCAGTTTGCTAGCATCATAGCATTTTAATTTGAAAATACAGATCTCTTGCAATTAGAAATGCAAATTGTAGAGCCTAATCTTTTTTCACATCAGAAAGCTCTATTTTCCTTAGCAATGTCTATTTGGATATCTTTATGAATATTCCCCCTCTGGTTTGATGTCCTATATATGATGACGTTTTGATCTAGATATTGAGTTGGGGACTAATACATCTTATATAAGCCTTTGCACTTTTTGGCTCGTGGGAGTAAAACTTTTGTTGTCTTTTCTCAGGGAGCAACAATAGTAGACAAGGTTGTGAAGATAACTCCAGCTGAGGACTATGTACCAAATCGTGAGATGCAAGTAAGTATAGCAAGAACACTTACTAATTTACTATATCATACATGCACTTGTTGATGTAAAATTTAGAGCTTATCAGAAGCAATTTACGCAGGAAGTAAGGGTGGTGGAAAATGCCATAAGTGTTGCTCCTTCTGAAAATGTCTCATCAAATGTTGAGGTAAAGACAAACATCCAAATTAAGGTTTTGCATGATTGTTTTCTCTTGATGAGCTGCTTTTTACGTGCACTTGGACTTGGCTAAAAAGTAGTTGAAATTAATTTTATTATACCTAGGGCTTTGTTAATACATTGGAGTGTGTTTTGAATATATCTGATTACTTTGACATTGAAATTCTGATAACTATTAAGAAGAAAGTCCCTATTGTGATATTGTTTTAAACAAGTCAAGTCAATACCCATCTAACTATTTTTATGGCTTCTTGCATTGTTTCAATCTTGCATCACATCACTTGCTTATATTCTTCAGCAGTGCATTCCGTTAAACTGTAGCTAGGCAATAATTACTACAACTGTTCACATTTTTGTTTTTCTGATTAAGCTCATGGTCTGCTATACTACAACTCTTTCAGGAGGGGAAAGCAAGCCCCACTAATGGAAGAATGTACCTTAACAGGGCACAAGATGTAGTTACAAGTATGCTGGCAAAAGGTTCAGCAATAAGACAAGATGCTGTGAACAAAGCTAAAGCATTTGATGAAAAGCATCAATTTACTGCTAATGCATCTGCAAAGGTCGTTTCTTTTGACAAGAGAGTTGGATTGACGGAGAAATTGACTGTAGGCATTGCTGCAGTGAATCAGAAAGTGAAGTCTGTGGATGAGAGGCTTCACGTTTCGGATAAAACAATGGCAGCAATATTTGCCGCCGAGAGGAAGTTGAATGACACTGGATCAGCTGTCAAAACAAGCAGGTATGGTTGAATATGATACATGATCTCGATTTCTGTACTTGGATTACTCTATGAAATTATTATGATTTTGTGGTGGGATCCAACTAGGAAATGCAAAGTGTAAAGAAATTTAAAAGTTTCTATACTTATTAGCTGTTTTTTTAAAATCAGATCAAATTGGCCGGTTAGACCATAAAAACCATAAAATCACTGAATCGGTTAGGTGACTAGTTCAAATAAACCACAGGAACAGAACCGGCTTGAGAAAAACAACTGGAAAATGGGTCAAAAACGAATGCCTTGTCCAGTTCAATAACTGGTCTGGTTTTAAAACCATTGACTATTAGCTACAACATGGAATAACTACATGATGGAGAGAAATTAAATATGCATGATGATCCTTCACCCTTGTGACTTTAATTTGCCCTAAGATTGTATATTATTTGAATGTTGATAATAAAAGGTATGCTTGTTAATGGCTTGTCCTCATTCCGCTGCAGATATGTGACTGCTGGAACTGCATGGTTAAATGGTGCTTTTAGCAAGGTGGCAAAGGCTGGGCATGTTGCCAGTACTAAAACTAGAGAAAAATTTCATTTGGCTGTTTCAAACTTGACAGCAAAGGTTTGATATGTCATTCATAAAGAAAATAAATTTTAAACCTGGAATTTTTTCTTTGTTAAGGAAAACATATTTTGAGTTGGTAACATGGTTTCATAATTTCATTCATTATGCAGGAACCGTCAGTGGCTGCATAGGCTACAATTTTGGTAATCAAGTCACTTCATCAGGTCTTTCAGAGCATGTGCTGTTTTCTTTCTGTCCTTCAACAAGTTAGATGCATGTGGCAAGTGCGGTGATTCAATTTGATCCTATTTTTTGTATTCTTTTGTCACTCTTGTGTTTTAGTTGTTGCTTCTATGTAATTTAGCATTGGTAATTTTGGCTTTTTCTTTCTTTTTGTGAAAAAAGAAGTTATAGGTGTGATGAAACTGTTTTTCAGTTTTCACTATATCTTTTGTCGAAATTCAAAAATTTATCTGTGCATGTACAACTTGACATCTGGTTCAAAGAGTTCTGTGGGAAATTATCATCTTGCAGACTACAGAATTTCGTTTCTTTGCTGATGCTATTGATGAAAATTGTAAAAAAAATATGTTGTATTAGGCTCACTTCGTTCTAATTTGTGTGTTTTTTCAAAATGTAACATGGTTAAAAAAATATGTCAAGCATGTACTTTTGACCATGCCCTAATCAAAATCATTAGGATCTTGGCAGGCGTAATGATGGATATTAGTGCACTCCACTTTTGACCAATAGATGATGGCGGTCTTGTCGGCTAATCAAAGTGTCTTCAGCATAGAGACAAAATTTTGAATCGTACAGTGGCATAGTTTTAAACTATTAGATTTATTTTTGAATGTGTACAGTTATCATTATTGTTTCACGTGCTAGCTATGTCAAAGGTGATTCTGTCACTATCTCCAATAAAATAGTATTTCCTTAAACATTGCATTTGGATGCTACAAAGTGTTTATATTGTGTAAAACAAAAATTCATGTGCAGAGGTCCGAGATTGACTGCAAATTACATGCATGAGGAAGAGTAATTAATTAGTTAACAAAACTTAGTACATTTATTTTAAATTTAGATGTACTTGGTATAGTTTTTTTTATCAGAATTAAGATTTTATTTTAATAATATACATAAATGTATATTATCAAGATACTTATTAAATATAAGTGTATAATATCAAAATATTTTTTTTATCAGTACTAACAACATTTAAAAAATTATCCATTAATTTTATCCTTAATTGACGAGGTTTTTATGCACCTAACGACAGCACAGCATGATGGAGACTGCCAGAGTAGGTAAACGAAGCCGATTGATGTATAACTGTATTTATGTCCTATGAGTCAACAACATTCAAAGTTGTTGGAATAGTGAATATTCTTTATTAATTTTTTTCTATTGAGTGAAATAGGAAAACAAAATAGAAAAAATAAAAATAGAAAAGAAATAAATTAAAAAGATATTGTTTGAATAGATAGAAATATTTATATAGAATTTTTTTTTTTGTTTTTGCTAATTGTTTGGCTGAATGAAAAAAGTAGGGAAAATAAATATATAAATTAAATTAAAAATATTTATGTAGTATTTGAAATATTTTCTTACTCTTATTTTTTTCTTAACACTAAATTATTTATTATTTAAAAAAATTGTAAAAATTATTTAATTTTTAAATAATATATTATAAAAATTATTTTTTTAAAAATAACAAGAAAAAGAAAAGGAGATGCAGAAAATCATCTTCAAAATCATGGCAAGTGGGAAATGATCTCTTCAACGGTGGACCATGAAATTTGTTGATTTCTCCTCCTTGTAAAAGTCATACAATCTTTTCCAATTCACTCCATTTCATTTCTCTTCTAAAATCACCCAATAAAAACATAGTAAGACAAGTTTTTTCTTCTTCTTTTGTTATGTTTGGTTTAAGAAAGAAAGTGGAAAAAAAGGAAATAAGTAGAAATTGATATAATTATTTAGATTATTTGATAATAAAAAAAATGAAGATAAAGATAGATAAGTTTTTCTTTTTCTTATTTAGCCGTGTTAAAAATAGAAAAGAAAAAAAAGGTAAAATAACATAAATATTTCAAATAAAAAAGTTGTCACATATTTAAAATGATTGTCTTTTTAAGTAAAGGTATCAAATAAGTCAAATCCATTGTGTAGATCAATATTTTTAAGTAGATCAGTTTAATTTTACCTTAATTTTTTACAAGTCACTCATTTTATAATTAATTCATCCGTCTACTAAATTGTATCAAATCAATTTATTTATTTTTTATTTTAAAAATATTGGATCATGTATGCCCAATAGGTTTTGAATCTAAAAAATATTTGTCAATTCTTTTTCAGTTTGTTAAGTCATTTTTTACACCTTTACTTTTAAGTTACTCATGCATTTCACCTTCTTTTCATTCCAAAAGAGAAAAAAAAAATTATCTGGTGAGATAGAGACCCATAGCAACCTCTTCCTTCTTCTTGTTTTAAAGGGTTCTAAACAAAGACATAGATTTTAGTCAAATTAACCTTGAAATAATGTTACCAAATAAAATCAGTATGAAAAATGTCTAAATGCAAATCATCTCAGATAAATGTGATATATATATATATATATATATTCAATGATTTTGAAAAATAATATTTTGATTTATTTTTTATACATAAAATGTAACTCTTCAAATCAATACCTTTATTTACACCATTAAAAGAGTATCTATCTTCAATGGGTAAGTGAAATGTAACTTACTAATGATTATTAATGTAACATGGTTGAAGTTTAAGATAATTATTAATATGCTTGTAAATTGATTGAATTTTAAATAAAATAGTTTCAAAAATAATTTTAGTTTACTTCATCTAACTATTGACTATTTTAATTTCATTTTGTGTTCTCTACAAACTTTAATAAATAGACTGCAATTACATTCTTATATAATACACGTGTTATTGTTGTATTTCTCTAATAAAATAAGTAATAATACATGTGCACTTTAGTCCAAACCACGAGATAAAGATAGATAATTAAAGATAAATTAATAGTGGTTTGTCACAAATTAGGTGAGTAACAAGTTTTTATTTTATTTATTTCATTTTAATTTAGGGAAAAAGCCGAAATAATTATAGGCTTTTACGCTTTAATAAATATAAAAATAGGTGAGAATTAGGTGTACTAAATAAAATAAAGAAAAGCAGTGTTTTATTGAAAAAAAAAATAACGAGAAATTACTGAATTGGTACGAAATAAAAAAAAATAAAAATGAATTGTTACATAAAATTTAATTGATTATACTTCAGTTTTATATTTTGAAACAGCGACTATGTGAATAAACTACCACTTTCAAGGTGGAGAGGGGTTGGGATAGTTAGAAACATGAACACCTAGGTTCAATCTTTACTGCGATCATCTTTATAATTTTTCTTATTTTTACCAAAAAAAAATACCACTTTTAATTTATCAGTTTTATATAATTGATTAAGAAAATATATTAACTTTTTCTTAATTTCTTATTAATTTCTCTTTTTTTTTTTGGTAACTGTGAAATGTTAAAAAACACAATACGAAAATATCAAAGGAAGGGTAAATGTCGACAAGACAGACTTATTAATATTTCTTAAATCAAACATATTTATTTTTGACATATTTTTATTCACTTTATTTAAATTCTAAACCCTAAACCCTAATTTTTTACATTAGTATTTTATTATTTTAGTATGTTCAAAGCATAATTAATAATAATAATAATAACAATAATAATATTATTATTATTACTTTTGAATATATAAATTATCTTATAATTTAAATTTATAATAAATATATTTTTAATATATATTATATTTTAGATTTATGATAAATAATTTATAATGTAATATAAATTATTTTTAATCATTGATAATTTTTTTAATAATTATTGAAATACAACTTTCTATCCTCTATATATATAAAAATTAGAATAACTGAGAGTATGTTTGTGGACCATTTTTCAATGATAGATATTTTTTGCTATTTTTTCTCAACAAAAAATATTTTTAAGAAAAAATTTCAACTTATAATATTTTTTAATCTATTTTTTTCATTTTTATTTATAATTTATATCTATATTTTTAAATAAATTACCAACAGTTAAAATAATTTTATATCAAAACATAAATTATTTATCAAAAATAAAATATAATTTGTATGATCAAAATTATTAATTTTAAAAAAAATTGATATAATTTACACAAGATAATTTTTTATTTCATATATCTAAAATCTATAATAAATAAATACTTTTGAAATATGTAAATTATGTCATATTTAAAATTTGAAATAAGTAAGTAATTTCGATCATGTAAATTATATTTTTAAATTTGTGATAAATAATTTATATTATGATATGTAGTTATTATTAATTACTGATAGTTGTTAAGAAAATATTAAAATTTAATTTATGAATAAAATAAAAATGATATATTAAAAAAGTTTCACTTGGATCTTATTGTATCCGCATACAATGGGACTCATCATTTTCATTTTGGGCTTCTTATAATAATCGGAATTGTGGGTTAATCTCAATCCGGGGAAAGTATTCGATCTTAAGATTTATTTTCATTGGCTCACAATTGATACACTGTCCTATATTAATAATATATTTTTGTTATATTTTTTTTTAAAATATTTAAATATTTTTTAATTTCTTGACTTTACAAATTTTTTATCTTTCAAAGTTTCATTTTTTTTAAGAAAAAGAATAATATATATATATATAATCAATTATTTACATGCAAAATCAATCTTTAAAATTGAATATTCAATTTTTTTTAAACACTCACTTCTATTACACGAATTCCCTCCCCTCATATTTTTAGTATTTCGAACAGCATTGAGATGATTTCTAGTTATCACATGTGTGATAACGAGACTCATTTTCATCTCCAAACTTCGTCTCCTCCATTTCAAAAACTTCTTCTCCAACCTTTGTTCCTTTTTCTCCCTCGATCTCTTATTAATGATACAAATAATGGACTCTCTTGAAACTTATGAACAAATATTGAAAAAGCATGAAAAAGACTCTACTAAAAATACCTTTCAATCAAAGCTCAAATTATGGTCATGAAATAAAAAATATGAAGAAAATAAAAACAGTGAGGAAATCTTTAAAAATAAAGAAAATTTTAAAGCTTTATAAACACTTTTACAGTGAAGTATTGAAGCTGGTGTGCCACCTATTAAGCAATAAAATAACTGGTACTAGTAGGTTTTTAACCGAAAAAATAAAAATAAAAAAATTAAAATCATCACTAAATAAAATGAACAGCATTGAGATGATTTCTAGTTATCACATGTGTGATAACGAGACTCATTTTCATCTCCAAACTTCGTCTCCTCCATTTCAAAAACTTCTTCTCCAACCTTTGTTCCTTTTTCTCCCTCGATCTAGCGACAACAAAGACTCACACTACATTGATTTTTGGTCGTCACAAGCAGCAATAACAACACCATTTTCCATATTCAACCAATGTTTTCTCTATATTAAAATCTTCTCCAACTTTCGTCTCTCTTTCTCCCCTGACTTGGAAACAATGGGGGTGTCACTCACCTCGTACCTCTGCAATTTATATCACAAAATAATATATGTAATATATACATAAATATTATATTATTAAATATATATTTTAAAATTAATAATATATTATAAAAGTTATTTAAGTTGCATATATTACAGATAAATACATTAGAATAAGTAATTATTCTTATGTTTAATAAGACTCTTTGCTCTTCCATTAACAAATTCAATTCTTATTGTTATTTTTGTAGTTTATGGTTCCTTAAAAAAAAAAAAAATTTTGTGGTCGAACCGGATTGACCCACCGGTTCACTGGTCGAACCGAAAAATTGATCGGTTTAATCCGGTTTGAAACGGGTTAAATGCATAACCGATCCAACTTAAGATTCGGACCGGCTTGACCATCAATTCCCGGTTCAACCAGCCGGTTTGATCTGGTTTTTGAAACATTGCCTCCATCTTATTATAATTCTACTAATGACATCATTAATGGTTGTTAAGTTAGACGAAGACGAAAGCAATTCTCAACAAAGTTTTGAATGAGACAAATATAATACATGTTGTTATTACTAACAAGTGTGTTAGTGTTTCAGGTATAAGTACAGGTAAGTTGAAGAATAGATAATATACATCTATACTAGAATCAAGAGATATGAGTCAAACATTAGATAAAGGCTGAGCAAACGAAGGGAACACATCATATGAAGACAGTCACAAACATAGACAAAAACCAAGAATGCTGGATTGCGTCTGAAGTCACAAAGGGAAGAACTACTCAGCATCCACACTCTTAGAAGAACACATGAAGTCATCAAAATAGAAGAAGGGAGAAAGGAAAAATGGACTAGTGCTTATTCACAAATCAAAGCCGCATGTGTCAGAGCAAGTACACCTACCAGCCAAAAAAGGACAACACCTCTACAAAAATAGTATCAAGGAAGTACATAGACATCTTAATATCAGTCACAGATGCAAACTAATGGTACAAAAGATCTCGAGAAGCGCAGATTCAGCAAGCAAACATTAAATGCAAAGTCAGAAGCATTAAATGTCACAATCCATGAAGATTGTACAAACCAGATGAAAGAATCAGATGATGGCTAATCAAGCATAAGAACGAAGTCTGCTCACAAATAGAAGAGGACTACCATCAGAATGAGACATTGAAGTATCAAACAAAGCCTATGAGGAATAGTCAAGGCAAGACACGAGCCAGACAAGCCGAGACAGATAAAGCACGTGATGTAGGAAACCAAGCGTCAAGAGATGAGTAGTTGGAACATGAATATGCACTAGATGATCACAAAATATCCAGACAAAGTTGTGTCAAGTGCAACTGCTCTAAAGCACAGATCAGATGTGGCATATGTCTATAAACAGAAGAAAGTCGATCGTACATCAAGACCAAGAGCAACATAGACTAAAAGATACTCTGGATAAAGACAAGTCTGTCTATTGGGGGTGGTCCCTTTAGGCTTTTTGTTGTGTTAACTCTGGCTGTGTTGTTTTGTTTTGATGTTTGTTGTGTTGAAAAATTGTTGTGATGATTTGTTGTGCTGCTGATTTGTTGTGGGGTATGGTTATTGTTTACTAAATATGCTGTTACTTTTGTAGACGATGACTAGGACCAATGAGCAGATAGCTCGTGCCATAGAGATGATGGCTATGGCTATGCAACAGCAAAACGCCTATTTTGCTAGGATGGAGGCTGAGAGAGCTACAGCTGGTGCAGCAAGACCTACAGGGTCACAGGAGAGTCGGGATCTTGCTGAATTCTGAAAGTGTAACCCTCCGCAGTTTGCAGGAGATGCGGATCTAGAGGTAGCTGACCGCTGGATCCGTGAGCTGGAGAAGATCTTTACCGTTCTGGGATGTCCTCCAGAGAGGAGATTAGCCTATGCTGTGTACATGCTTGTGGGAGAGGCTGAGCACTGGTGGAGAGGCACCTATCAGATGCTTGCTGCTAGAGGAGTTACAGTTGACTGGGAGTGCTTCAGGACAGTATTCATGGAGAAGTACTTTCCTGAGAGCGTGAGGCACGCCAAGGAAGCTGAGTTCATGCGATTGCATCAGGGGGGAATGACAGTTTCTGAGTATGCGATGAAATTCGAGCACTTGGCTCGTTTTTATTTGCAAGGTATAGCTGAGGCCTGGAAATGCAGGAAATTTGCTAATGGGCTAAGATATGAGTTGAAGAGGGTGGTGGTGCCTATGGCCATCACCGAGTTCCCAGCCTTAGTGGAGAAGGCAAAGGTGGTGGAACGGTTGGAAGGTGGTAACCGTGTTATGAGGACTGCTGGAGGGCCGTCTGGGTCCAAGAAGGGCGAGAGTCAGAGGAAGCCGTATGATAGGCCCCAGTCACAACAAGGGGGTCCTGCCAGTAGGCAATCTTCCAGTACTACTAGTGGAGGTAGACAGAGTGGAGGTGCCACTCTAAGATGTTTCAGGTGTGCTGGGCCCCACTTTGTCAGGGACTGTCCGTACACGGAGAGCCGTTGCTTCAGATGTCATCAGATGGGTCACGAGTCGGCCAACTGTCCTGCTAGGGGCAGACCTGGGAGGAGTGCTCAGAGGAGTGACGTGCAGAGGGCTGATACTCAGAGGAGTAGTGCACAGAGAGCTGATACACAGAGGGGTGACAGACCCACTACTGCTAGTAGAGTATTTGCTTTGACGGGTGCTGAGGCTTCGACTTCTTCTGACCTTGTGAAGGGGAAGGGTAAAGCTGCTGGTAAGGATGTGATGATCCTCTTCGACTCGGGTGCCACGCATTCTTTTATATCTTATGCATGTGTTGCTATACTGGGTATGCCTGTGTGTGATTTGGGGTTGAGACTGCTAGTGTCTACGCCCGCTTCTGCTTCTGTGATTGCTTCTGAATTGTGTGTTGGTTGCCCGGTTGTGGTGAATGAGAAGAAGTACAAGGTGAACCTGATTTGTTTACCTTTAGTGGATATTGACATAATCTTGGGAATGGATTGGTTGTCTGCCAATCGCATTCTTATAGATTGTGCCAATAAGAGGTTGATTTTCCCTCAGGAGGAGAACGAGCTATTGATCTCGGCTGGTCAGGCTGAGTCATTGCTGAGAGATGGAGCAGAGTGCTGTCTTCTGCTTGCTACCATGAGTGTGGAGACCGAGAGGGTCTTAGCTGATATTGAGGTGGTGAGAAACTTTGCTGAGGTATTTCCTGATGAAATACCAGGGTTGCCTCCTGTTAGGGAGCTGGAGTTCAGTATTGACTTGGTTTCAGGGGCGGGGCCAGTGTCGGTGGCCCCCTATAGGATGGCTCCTGCTGAGCTGACTGAGTTGAAAGGTCAATTGGAGGACTTATTGGAAAAGCAGTTGGTGCGACCGAGTGTTTCGCCGTGGGGTGCTCCGGTGTTATTAGTAAGGAAGAAGGATGGAGGTAGTCGACTGTGTGTTGATTACCGGCAGCTAAACAAGTTGACCATTAAGAACAAATATCCACTTCCCCGGATAGATGACTTAATGGATCAACTGAGGGGAGCATCGGTATTTTCCAAGATTGACTTGAGGTCGGGCTATCACCAGATTAGGGTGAGGGAGGGTGACATACCGAAGACTGCTTTCAGGACTAGGTATGGTCACTATGAATATGTTGTGATGCCGTTTGGTGTAACCAACGCCCCCGCAGTGTTCATGGACTACATGAACAGGATCTTCCGGCCGTTCTTGGATAAATTCGTAGTGGTGTTTATAGATGATATCTTAATCTATTCCAAGACCCCGGAGGAGCATGGAGAGCACTTGAGGACAGTATTGGAGATTTTGAAAGCGAAGTAGCTGTATGCTAAGCTTTCAAAATGTGAGTTCTGGCTGGGTGAGGTGAAGTTCTTGGGCCATGTAATTTCGGCTGAGGGGATTGCTGTTGATCCAGCCAAGGTGGAGTCGGTGTTGCAGTGGGAGCACCCGAGAACTGTCACTGATATCAGGAGTTTCGTGGGTTTGGCAGGATACTATAGGAGGTTCATTGAGGGATTCTCCAAGATAGTAGCGCCTTTAACCCAGCTGACGAGGAAAGAGAAGCCTTTCATTTGGACTGATGCCTGTGAGCAGAGTTTTGTTGAGCTGAAACGGAGATTGACTACTTCTCCTGTGCTAGTATTGCCGGATTCTGGTGGGCCTTTTGATGTGTACTGCGATGCCTCTCATCAGGGTATGGGGTGTGTATTGATGCAAAACGGGAGAGTGGTGGCATATGCTTCTAGGCAATTGAAGATTCATGAGAGGAACTATCCCACTCATGACTTGGAGTTAGCAGCCGTGGTGTTTGCCTTGAAGACTTGGAGGCATTACTTGTATGGGGCTCGGTTCAGCGTCTTCAGTGATCACAAGAGTCTGAAGTACTTGTTTGATCAGAAGGAGCTAAACATGAGGCAGAGGCGGTGGATGGAATTTTTGAAGGATTATGATTTCCAGTTGATGTATCATCCAGGCAAGGCCAATGTGGTGGCAGATGCGCTGAGTAGGAAATCCATCCACATGTCGAGTATGATGGTGAGAGAGCTGGAGCTGGTCGAGAAATTTAGGGATTTGAATCTCTGGGTGGAGTTAGCTCAGGATCACATTAGTTGTGGGGCAGTTATCATAACTAATGCGTTCTTGAGGCAGGTTGGACTCAAGCAGTTGCAGGATGAAGAGTTGATGAGACTTCTTGGTTTGCTGGGTACTGAGAAAGCTGCTGGTTTTGAGCTAGGGGAAGATGGGATCTTGAGGTTCAGAGGCAGGATTTGCCTACCTCAGGATGTTGAGCTGAGGAGGGCTGTATTAGAAGAAGGCCATAAGAGCAAACTTAGCATACACCCGGGTATGACTAAGATGTACCAAGACCTCAAGAAGAATTTCTGGTGGTCTGGTATGAAGAGAGAGATCGCTGAGTATGTTGCGGCCTGTTTGACCTGTCAGAAGGCAAAGGTTGAGCATCAGAAGCCGAGTGGGTTGATGCAACAGATGGAGATTCCCGAGTGGAAATGGGATAGCATTACTATGGATTTCATTGTGGGCTTGCCTAGGTCAACTAGGAATAGTGATGCTATCTGGGTGGTTGTTGACCGGTTGACCAAGTGTGCGCATTTCTTGCCTGTCAACATGAAGTGGTCTTTGGAGAAGCTGACACAGTTGTATGTGAGGGAGATAGTGCGGTTGCACGGGGTGCCGTCCAGTATCATTTCTGACCGAGATCCGAGGTTCACTTCCCGATTTTGGCAGAGTCTACATCAAGCCCTAGGCACGAAGCTGAAGTTGAGTTCTGCTTATCATCCGCAGACGGATGGTCAGTCAGAGAGGACAATCCAGTCCTTGGAGGATCTGTTGAGGGCCTGTGTGCTAGATCACTTGGGTAGCTGGGAGGAAGTCCTACCGCTGGTGGAGTTTACTTATAACAACAGCTATCATGCTAGTATTGGGATGGCGCCGTATGAAGCCCTTTATGGCAGAAGGTGTAGAACTCCTCTGTGCTGGTATTAGGATGGTGAGTCAGTGGTTGTGGGACCGGAGCTGATCCTACAGACTACTAAAAAGGTGAAGAGGATACAGGAGAAGACGAAGACTGCTCAAAGTAGGCAGAAATCATATGCGGATAAAAGGCGTAAGCCTTTGGAGTTTGCTGAGGGGGAGCATGTGTTCCTGAAGGTGACTCCGACTTCTGGTGTGGGCAGAGCACTGAAGGCACGGAAGTTGACACCGATGTTTGTTGGTCCCTATCAGATAATACAGCGTATGGGTCCGGTTGCTTATCGGTTGGCTTTGCCACCGTCTCTTTCAAACCTACACGATGTATTTCATGTATCCCAGTTGAGGAAGTATGTGCATGACCCGAGCCACGTGGTGGAACTAGACGATGTTCAAGTGAAGGAGAACCTTACCTTTGAGAAGTTGCCAGTGGCTGTGGTCGACTATAAGCTGAAGGAGCTGAGGGGCAAGCCCATTAGGTTTTCCAATAAATTTCAAATATGCTACAAACGTTTCCATCAAAGCGCAAGTGCAAGTTGATGGTTCATGGCAATGGCATCGTAGATTTGGCCACTTCAACACTCATGCCTTGAAGTTACTATATCAAGAAGACCAACGCTTGACGGTGGAGAGACCAAAGGAAAAAAAAAAAAAAAAAGATGCGATTAAGGGGGATCGGGTGACACCGATGTCAACAAGTTGATGCTAAAACTATGGTGTGTTTCTCCTCCAATTTGATTTGCTTGTTGCTATGCATTTCTCGATCTAGTTTGGCCATGACGACATGATACCTTGGATTGGGAGAATGAGGAGTAGGCTTGGAATGGGAAAGATCAGAGAACCTTCTTAGTAGGTTTCCAGTAAAAAATCTCAACCTCAATTTTTTTATTAATAAATCCAACGGTGATTAGAGATGCTTAATGGATGTACCACTTATTTTGGTACTTCATGTTAGATTTTTTGGAAGTTTCTTTAAGTTCAATCAAAGCAAATATCCTCCATGTGACATCTATAAGGAGATAAATCACTTGGAAAGAAATTGTTGGCATCATGAAAAGCCTCAATGTCAATACTAGAAGAAATTTGGACATGTTGAAAAGAATTATCACAACAAAAATAGACAACAAGAAAATTTTGTTGAAGAGCAAGACAATGAGATACATTTTTTTTTCTATGCCAACCCATATTCTAGTAATGAAACAAGTGGCAATTGGTACTTTGATAACAATTGCAGTAACCACAGTGCTAATGATTACAGTATTTTCAAAGAAATTGATGACTTTGTGAAAGTTTAAGTACAATCGAAAAATGGCACCATGGTAGAGTCAAAAGGCAAAGGCATCGTTATTGTAGAGACTAAGAAAGGTATGAGACTCATTAATGATGTTCTACTTGTTTCTCATCTTAAAGAAAATCTCTTGAGCATTGGTCAAATGATGGAGATATGCTATGCTTTTCACTTTAAAGGTGACATGTGCATTATCTATGATAACAAAAGACGAGAAATAACCCAAGGTAAAATGGAGAAAGAAAATAGAGGTTTTCCAATAAATTTCAAATATGCTACAAACGTTTCCATCAAAGCGCAAGTGCAAGTTGATGGTTCATGGCAATGGCATCGTAGATTTGGCCACTTCAACACTCATGCCTTGAAGTTACTATATCAAAAGAATATGATGAGAGGTTTTTCAACTCTAAAAGAAAATAATGAAGCCTATGAAAAATGTCTTCTTGAGAAAGAACATAGACTATAGCTTTCCATTGGAAAAGCACAGAGAGCAAAAGACTTAATGGAATGGATCCACATTGATATTTGCAAACCGATGAAGATAATATCACTTCATAACATGGGTTTACTTTATTAAAGAAAAAATAGAAGTCTTCAAAATATTCAAGTTTAAAGCCTTTGTGGAGAAACAAAGTGAAAAAATTATAAAAGTATTTAGAAGTGATTGAGGCAAAGAGTACAATCCACACGAGTTCAACAAGTTCTATGAAGATTAAGACATTGGGTTGAAGTAGTTTACACCATAGTTTACATAACAAATGTCCAACCAAGACAATTCAAGACAAGACTTCAATTGAAGCTTAGAGTGGGAGAAAGTCATCGGCTAAACATCTATGAGTATTTGGATCTATCTGCTATTATGTTCTATTGAAAAGAGACACAAACTAGAAGACAAGACTACTTATTGTATCGCACGCAATCAAAAGGCTACTAAGTCCACTACCTATAAATGAAGAAGCTCAACATTAGTCGAGATATTGAGGTTGATAAAAATTCTCTTTGAAAATGGGAAGAAGAAAAAGTTGTTAGAAACATTTTCGTTCCAATACAACAACCTCAAGAAGAAATTCAAGAATTTGTTGTTGAGCTACTTAGGATGGTAGCATTTGATTGTAAAAGATATTTTAAAAAAGTATAATAAAAATATATTATTGATATAGAAATATGTATATATAATGAGGTTTTTCCGTTTTAATTCAATATTAAAAAACTCTTTCCACCCATAACCCATTGATCAAAGGTGTATTAATTTTCTATTTTAGTTA